CTTTCCCCATGTTATGTTTTTCTCCACTCTGCAAATGGGGAAGCTAAACATGAAACAGTTTGTCAAAAGTCATGCAGCCAGAAAACAGCCGTCAGATTTCCACCCCAGGACCTGCAGCCCTAACACTAAGGATGGGAAGTCCAGCTCAGAGAGTGTATCCTGAATCATGATAACAGTCTCTTCCCATTCTACAAGCTTTTCTAACTCAAATAAACAGGAAGAACTACTGCATTGTATGGTATCATCAACTATTTAAATTGCCTCAGAGTTTGTAAGAAGCAGTCCTTACATTCAGATTTGAAATGGAATTAGGCTGTCCATTTTTCTGTATAATTAAATGTAGGATATGACTGAACATGTGGCACTCAAACTTGTATTCCATTCTCTAGGCCAAGCTTTACTTGACATTAACAGACATAAATTAAGAATCAGCATTCTGAGTATTTTCTGCAAGATGTTTTTCAGCTCTGGCTCTCTCCGGCCCCAGGGAGCATTTATAACCTTGACTTCCCCGGTGGGTGCCATGTACCAAAACAGAGATAGACACTGGAACAACGAAGTCAAAATGAATACCAGTTCTCATCCACCCCAAAACCAATTTTTTTTTTTTTTTTCAGAGAGGGGAGAAGGAGAAGCAGGCTCCCTGCCAAGCAGAGAGCCCGATGTGGGGCTCGATCCCAGGACCCTGGGATCATGACCTGAGCCAAAGGGAGAGGCTTTAACCCACTGAGCCACCCAGGAGTCCCCCAAAACCAAATTTTTGAAGCAAACACTCATCTGAGAGATTTTATGTATACAAGTTCATGTGTAACATCCTTCAAAACACATCCAAACAAGGTGTTTGCAGAGATTATGAAAATTTTATTAATAAAGAAAATCTGCATATGTGCATCCCCTTGAAAAACGACCACCTCAAACCTGTGGAAAGCACTATGTTTTCTAGTCACCGTTTCATCAATGCCAGAAAAATGCAATCACAACAACAGAAGGCAGACCAATATTCTTGAAGGGGACAATCATTCGAGATAATAAAATACTAGAAAACCAGAAGAGAAGAATCAAGGTATCCATTTCACAGGCTGAAACACTGAGCCTTCAGCCAAACAAATGTTCGCACCGGGAGTCAATATATTTGGCAGCAGCTCTTTTTAACGCTGCCCTGAAGACTCCGTATCCATTCAGAAACAGGACAGAGTTCTCAGAGTCTGGTAAAAACGGATAGCCAGCACAACTGATGGAAGTTAATGGCGACCCAGCAATAGTTCACAGGCAGTCCCGAGAAAATGGAAAGGTGGGCTTTGTGACAGGATAGCACCGGTTTTCCAGGGCAACTTGGAAGTTTGCTCCTGATTCAATGACTGCCCCACCTTGTCCTCCAGAACCTTCCTTGGATACCCTCTACCCCACCCTTTACTAACAATCTATAAACATATTCCAGATACAAAGCATGCAAGAAGGGAAGTACAAGAGTATTTAGAGATTCTGATGTCCCAGCTGTGAATAGAGAACACACATAGCACTGGTCCTCACTCTTGGAACCCACTGCCATTGCAGCTGGAAACCCCTCCAAAGAGATCATATAGACGTTTAATTCAAAGAGGGGGGCACAGAGTCAGGCCTGTTACTTGACTACAGTTTCTAGGGCCCGACATAGCTATATTTTTAGGCTTGGCTCCAAGGAGCTGCCTCCACAGATTTGGACAGAGTGAGGGAGGCACAGATGGCGGCGGTCACGTGAAGGCACATACCCATAGAGTGGGCTCGGTTACAAAGTCTGTACATTTAGGCTGCTGTATTCCTCCTATTTCAAGTACTGCCAAGTCCTGGCAGTTTCCCCTCTTTCCAAAGTCTTGATTCATTTAATTCTCCCGAAGGAGGTGGAAGAAGAGGAGGATTGCGCAAATCTTACTGTTTTATGGTTTAGAAGAGACAGTCACCATCTTGGCTCCTTGTCAGATTTCAAATGTAACATTTTGCTAAGTGTAAAGCTGTGTATCTGTTCCTTTTCTGTTGCCGTTATTATAACTTCAATATTTGCAAAACACAACCTCAAAATACTTTAAATCCAGCGCAAAGCAGTTTGTTATTCATGTAACACATTTCTTACACATATCAATACTCAGTTCACAGCAGGGGACTCCTTTCTTGGTTTTTTTTCCTGTTTTATTTATTTGTTCCTTCTTTCACTTATGACTATTTTTTTCCCTCTTTTAGGGATTTAAGAATGATTTAATTACGTAATAGCAAAATTCCCCAGTACATATATATGTATGTACTGGGGATTTTAATATATCCTGATTATTACATTATTACATTATATATATATGTATATACATATGTAGTGTATATTACATTATATATGTGTGTATATATATGTGTGTATATACACATATATATATACATTATATACACATATATATACACATATATAACATGTATATATGTATATACACACATATACATGTTATATATGTGTATACACATATGTGTATATTACATTATATATATGTGTATACATATACATATATAATGTAATATACATTACATATGTATATACACACATATATAATGTAATAATGTAATAATCAGGATATATATATCCTGATTATTATCAAACTTATGTCAATCCTGCCTGGTATACACATATATATAATGTAATTATGTAATAATCAGGATATATGTATCCTGATTATTATCAAACTTATGTCAATCCTGTCTGGTAGCATCATTTAGAAAAAGAAAGCACATAAGCTAAAGTTATTCTACCCTTTGAAATACCCTGTGAATCATGTGTAAAGCACCGAGCACCTTGGTGAAGAATTTTAATTTTCTAATATAAGACCTGTAGTGTTTGCTACAAAAAATTGTTGAAAGAAATCAGGGTGTGCTTCCAGTGGTGCCCTATTCATAGTGATCAGCATTAAATCACGAGTTTCTCACTCTACAGGACAGCTATAATATTTCAGATAAGCAGCCATTTTCTTCCTTACGTAGGAAACTGTCCAGATCAGAATGCATGCAGTTACTGGTATTGTTTTTTTAACAGCGCACAGAGTATTTATCAGGTCGTCATCAGGATGCTGTAGTTTTTGTGTGTGATCAAACCTCCGCGCCAGAGTCTTATCCACTAAGCCCTCCAATGTGAATTCTTGGCCTGAGGTCTTGTGCAGGAAGGCCATTTTTAAAGCGAGTCAATACATAAAAAAGGTTTTCACATCTGTTAATCAGGTGTTTTATCTGGAGAACGTAAAAGCTGTTTACAATCCTCCAACTGACTTAACGTTTTTCTCTTTACTTGGATATTTATATTGTGCAGAAATTGACACTACTGTCGCAATCAATGGGATTGTTTGACTATCTTCTAAGGCAAACAAGAAAATGCTTTTCTTTTAGGTTTGAATTTCATGACTAGTGGAGTCTATCAATAGGCAATGTGGAGAGGCAAATTCATCTCCATTATTATCTTGAATCTCTGATTTCACTAGAGCATGCTAGTAGAGAAAGATCTTGATAACATTTATGCTGCATGAATTTGCATTCTGAGCTCTGTCCTTAAAACATGGATATTGTTCAGAACTTGATAATAAGAGAGAAAAGATTCCCACCATAGGGTACTTGTGCCTTTTTTTTTTTTTTTTTAAGTCGTGGTAACTTAAAAAAAGAACAAAATAAAAACTACCTTCCAAGTCAACGGGCAGATGCTTAAGTCAGGACTTCAAAACAGGAGTTGAAGTCTCCGGGGGAACTGTGGTTACAAGTCAATAGTAGGATTACATATCAGATACACTTTTATGAATGGAACGCATGGCCATCCCCAGTCTTCCTCAAAAGGACTTAGCTGCCAAGAGAGATACTCCACAACGTATCACAAATGTGCTATTTGTACAAACATCGCTCATTACAAATGCTCTTGCTTTTGTTTAAATGAGTATTTTTAACCTGAGCTATTAATAAAAAATTCTCTTCTCCCTTGTCAAGCTTGGCTTTCATAAGAAAGAATCTTTAAGCCTCCTCTCTTGTGAGAGTAATTTCTCTGATGGTGCTACTACGTAAGAACAGCCAGGGCTCATTAAGTAGGCTTCGGAGCATAATTATAATTAACAATTAGGTAGAAATTAGTTTTAATGATTTGTTTTAGATGATAGAACAGAAGCATAATGTAATTATTTTTGAGCCTTCTACATCATTAAGAAGACAACTACCACCAACTTTCAATTATTGAGAAGCAGACAATCATCCAAAGCATTTAGCAAGGGATCCATTTGTGGAGCCAAACTCAGGGAGCTGAGGAGAAAAGGGCCTCCGCCCAGCCCAGGTGTTTATAATTATCGCGCCTTTGCGAAGTCTCTTCCTCTTCTCTGCTCCTTCAAGCTGTTTCATGCCTTGAAGACATCTCCACCAGCGAAAATAGAGAGGCTCAACCTGGCTGTTCAGCTCTCCTCCCCCACCCCTGCCTTTCTCCGAGACTTAGGGCAGATCATGGAGGGAGGCGGAAGGTTCTGGAAAAGACGGCAAAATTTACAACGTGGGCCTGAAATGCCAATTCACACTATAAACTGAACTTGCAGGAAAGAAGATTATACAAATGAGGAATAAAATGAGGACAGGTTTTCCCCACTCTCCGAAACTATCTAGATGAGCATCCATTTCTGCTAACTGAAAGAAAGCTGAAGATTTTTTTGCTTCTACAGAACAGCCTCTCCCTTTACACCATTTCGGCTTACAAAAGTTTTCATGGGACTGCTCAACTTTCAGGAAGCGGGGGACAGCTATAGGAGGGATAAACTCCAGACGGCAAAGATAGACATGCCATCTTCCCCTGTTCCATGTTCTTTTAATGTCCCAAAGTCAGTTTGGATGTTAATTTCCCTGTAAGAGTTTTTAAAAATATTATGGAAACCTGAAGAGATGCTTTTATTTCCTGAAAAATACAAAAATATTTATTTAGAACAGTGACTATTAGTTACTGTCAAAAGTTTTTTTTTTTTCTTTTGGTTTTCTTTTTTTTCCCTCCTCTCTCTTTCTTTCTTCCTTCCCTTTCTCTTTTTTGACCTCAGCTCGGCAGTGGGCTGCTTTGTCTCCCACCCGTGAGCAAGAATGTTAGACCTTTTGCTGCTGACCTTCAGAAGCCCTGAGGGAGCACATTCTGACCCCCACGTAAAAAACCTGGTACCTGTGTTTCCACATCACAAAGCAGGCCAGCAAGCACACAAGGCCACAGAGCAAGTTAAGAATCATCTGGATGAGCAAGAACAGTTTGAAAGTGCCCGTGATGCTGGTGCAGTCCGTCACATCCCTGTACACAAAGGTCCTGCTGAGGGGCTCCTCGGAGGGCACCTTGCAGTGGCAGGCGTCGAGAGCCGTTCCGCAGGAAAACCGGGCGAGCTGCGAGTAGTGGTGGGCAGCAAAGGCCACGGCCAGCACGCAGACTGTCAGGCCCACGGCACTCAGCAGAAAGTACAACAGCTGCGAGAAAGCAGAACAGAACCCTTCCAGTTACCAAAGAACACGGGATGACTCGTGACAAAGCTAATGCATCAAAGCTGGTCTTTCTCTTCTCTCATCAGGAAGGTCCTGAGGGAGGGGTTGTTTTCGCCTCAGAAACAGAGTCCCCAAGGCAGAGGAATTTGATTTAATTGTGATCAGTCCTTAAGCCCTGATTCTATGTTGATTTGCCTTATGGATGTTGGGTGCTTTTCATAGATTGAGCCAACAATGTTGGCTTGATTGTGGGATGTTTCTGGATGTAGCAGCCTGTTTAGATGACTCCCAAACATGAGAGCTGTCCCTGAAAGGCAGGCTGTGACTGTTTCTGGACCTCAAATACTGCTCACCTGAAGACTGCAAAAAGACTGGGAAGTAAAGAACAGATATGCAATGGAAACACTGTGTTGGCCAGAAGTGGCCGTGATTGACCAACTGGCAATGCGGATTAATAAAAACAGCGGTGTTCAATATAGTGATTGCCAACCTGTGTCCAGGAATGTCAGGATCCCCAGTGAGAGGTTGCTGGAAAAAAATTATGGTTCCAGAAGGTAGATGACTGAATGGATGTCAGCTTCATCACCTATAACCAGGTAGTTCCTGAGCATAAAAATAAACCCCAAATGGCCCTTTATAGCTGCCAAGAGATTCTGAACACCATTGGCCTATGTGACAGCCTTGTGATGGAAAAGTCTGGTTCAAGAGCTAAACTCTGCTGCTAAAGAACCATGGAACCCCTGAAGAGGACATTTAGCTTACACCTGAAATGCGTTGATCAAAAATTGAGAGTGTTTATTGACACGGTCACCATTTAAAGCATTTTATAGAACAAGAAATGTTCCTGGGAGTGCACTGACCTACTGGAAACATTTCTCTTTGTGGTCCCACCTGCTGAGGGTCTAGATAAGGAACAGAGTACCCAGCTGTTGGGACTGGTGCCCTTGAGCCCAGTTCTTTGTGTGAGACTTGCATTCCATAGTTAAAAGCTGCTCATAGAGCAGTTCTGGTGAAGGTGAACTCCTCAAAGTAAGATTAATTCTACTCATGTCCAGGTTCAGATTAAAGTAGCTCTGAAAAGATTATGCACTCTCTCCACTTCCAGCGATCTGTCATTTAAAATAAAAACACATAACTCAGATTATAAAACATGGGTTCCAAAGTCCTCCGAGTGATTCTCCACATGGTGACAAATTCAAGTGCTTTCAAGTCTTAAACACGGAATACTTAAAAATGTATTTTTTTTTCTTTCTTGTGTGTGTGCATGTGTGCTGATGCCCTAATCATGAGTCTGGTTTGCCTGAAAGCTTGACTGAGGGCACGGGAGGGGAGTGGAACCCACTGGCTAAACCATCTTGCCTTAGCACGGCTGCACAACCAAGGAGAAGCCCGGCTTCTCCGGATTTTTCTCATCAAATATATCGTAAACATGCACACTACCCTTCCTCTTCAATCACTTGAAGAATTGTCAGTTGGAACCCACTTGTTTCATCTGTGAAACAGTTTATTGCAATATCTTCTATCTCAGGGACACAACAAGGAGAACTTCTATGCAACATGTCTAGTCTCCCTTGGAGAAAGAGAAGCAGATAAATACTAATGGGAACCATTAAAAATTTAAAAAGGAAAGATTAAATATGTGCTATTGAACTCATCCTCTCCCTAAATTTTCAGTGGCCATGCTTTCTGCAAACACGGTAGTGCTCAGGCTAAAGAGTATGAGTTTATTTTTGTGGGACCACCGGGGCAGAATATATGAAATATTCTAGGTGGTTCTGAAATCTTTTGGTCTGATGATTGACTTCAAACACCTGATACCAAGAGCCAGATTAAAGTGTGCCCACCAGAGCCGTGTTTCCAGTGCAGGCAGCATGGAACTGGGAACTATTTGCTTTGGGGATGTGGATACATTGGTGCCTTTACCAGCCGGGAAGGCCCAAATTAAAGGGATAATTTCCCACCTGAGAGTCATCTGCTTAGTAGAATGGCCCCAACTGGAGTTTTGTCTGCACATTTTCTTGCCATCAATGGATGGAACTGAGGAGGTCTTGCAATAACCCTCCTACCTCCAACACACACATACATCCTCAGTAGATCTCTGTAACATTCAGTGGGACAATATCTTAAAGCAATGACAATAATCCCTCTTCTCAATCTGCAAATAATTCGGATGGTTGCAAGACGAGGATTCGCTCGTAATCACAGAAATCCATTTGCTGAAATGAGAATTTTGCCTATTTTTAAAAGATCACCTTTTGGTTTAGATATCAAAAGATTTGCCTGAGACATTTACCAAGTGCACAGCAGAGCGATGGGCAGGAGTACAAACAGGGGAGCCAGACTGCCCACATTGGAATCCTGATTCTCCCCTTCTTAGCTCTGGACCTAGGGCAAACTAATCAATCCCATGTGTACCTACATTTCTTCACCTTTAAGTATGGGATGATGATCACCTTTAAGCCTTGGTTATTATAAGCACCCAAAGAGCTGATATTTGCCAAGGGTTTAGAACTGCGTCTAGTACAAACTAGCACTACTTAAGCATTTGTGAAATCCATAAACAAATTACTAGAGATGGAGAGAGCTGCCAGTTCTCCAGACTCTTAGGATATCAAGTCTACTGGCTTTGTTTTATTCTCTGTCACATGGGAGTAACAGGCATACTTGGCTCATAGAAAGGATATAAACTCTCTCTCTCTCTCTCTCTCACACACACACACACAGGGCTTGCTCAATCTTAATTGAGCATCTTTAAGATGCTAGAAGCCAGAGAGAGCACAAACAAAAGCCAAGCCACTCAGCCCTTGGAAGGTGCATGCATTTCCATCGGGGTGTCTCTCACCGGCTGCGACTCTGCTTCTCCCACCCTGTGAAAGCATCAGGCCCAGTCAACAGGCGGGAGCCACAGAATCAAATTTCTTATCCGTGTAAGACACGCATACATATTTGATCGCCCCCAAGCCTGGGGGCTACCTCTGCCTGCGCTACAGCTACCATTGCTTTTACTTCAGCTGACAGCAACAAGCTTCTGGGTGAGAATCTGTAATTTAAAATCGAGTGGCTTGTGTTACCTACACGGCACGAATAAACTACCCATGAAAGTGTGGGCGATGACCTTGGGAATGCGAGCAAATACATCCCGATAGAAGCGGGGCCGGGACGCATCTGTCTTGCCCGCGTCGCCCCGCGTGTCTGGCGCCCGAACCCGGGGGTGGGAAAGGGTGGGGGTCCGCGGGGTGGGGGGTGTGCGGAGGCCCCCGCGCTTATGTAACAGCGGCGCCCGGCGCGCTCCGCTCGCTCGCGGCCTCTGATGGGTACCCGGCCAGCCTCAGCGCTCCAGACTCGGGGAGCAGGGCGGCGCAGCTTCGATTTAATGACCCTCCCCAGCGGCCGGAGCCGGGAGGCCGCAGCAGCGGGAGCGGCGGCAGCCCGGGGGCCTTCTGCCCGGGGGCACGCGGCGACCGCGCCTCAAAAATTCTCGCGGGGAATGAGCCCGGGAGGGCCGCCAAGCACGACACCCGCACACGTTTCTGAAAATCGGCCAGGTGAGCCCCGAGAAGACGGGGCCACGAGGAAAGGCAGGAGGCCCAAGCCCAGGCCCCGAGGGGCCCGCCAAGGCCGCCGGCAGGGCCCGAGGAGAGGGAAGGAGCGCGCCAGCGGTGTCGCCGGGAGGCCAGTGGTCGCGGGAGATGGAACAAGTCCGTGGCTGTTGGCTCGGAGAGGGAGGGAGCGGTGTCTGCGTGCGCGCGTGCTCAGGCTGCAGAGAGCAGGGGTGATCCCCCTGAGCGACCGCCCCGGCCATCTGGGTCTCTAACAACAGCGGGGGTGGGGGTGGGGGATCTGCAACGAAGCTCAGGCCAGGGCATCAACAAGCAGGCACGAAAATGCGGTTATGCTAGTGAGAAGCACCTCACCAAGATGCATTTCGTAACCCCCCGCCCCCCGCACCTTGCAATGATGTGGAGGCACAAGGAAAGTCGGCTGTAACTTGTTGTGCCTTTGGAAACCCTGGAGATTGACTGAAGCTCCTTTCAGACCTGAAGATAATATAGCGGGCACCTTAGAGAGCTGGCAGCAAGCATCATTAAAGGTCACATTCAGGAGAAGGGAAAAGTGCCTCCGTATTTGTCAATGTCTGTCACAGGTGGGGGGAAAAAAGGTAGCTAATGAGATCTTCCTAGCGGGGAATTCTCAGCCTGGCCGACATTGGCACTGACTTCTTTATTTTATTTTATTTTATTTTATTTTATTTTATTTTTGTCCTTGCTCCTTATTTTAAGTGCAGGTGTTGAGGTGGCTTCCGGGGTCTCCCTGAAGCTGATTCGGGTGCTTCTGCTGGGTCATCTGGAGGGGAAACGAGGGTATTTCACATAAGCTGATGAACCTAGCAGAGAACACTTTTTACCCTAGTGAAAGAGGTTCCTGTAATTTAACAGGGCACTTCTTACTAGGCTTTCTGGCTTTTTTTTTTTTTTTAATCATCACTAAACTTTGCTGTGTTTAGTCAGACCTCTACAAAAAAAGTAAACATGGACTGATGTCTGCTCTACCTGGCCTTCTTTTAAGAAACACCCTCAGAAAAAGTAAAATTTCCAAATGTAGGCATATCCATGAAATTCTATCCGTTTTTTAAAAATAGAATCCCTTATTTTGTTTAATTAGAAAAGTTAGATCTATTGGAGAACATTACAAAATTAGAGCAAAAGACTACAAACTGCAGTTGTCTTCCCACCACTCAAAGATAACTATTTTTTTCTCTGCACTAAGCTATTTTTTTTTTTATTCTGTAGAATGATACCATACATTTTGGGGAGCCAGCTTATTTTGGCTGTTTAAAATAATGTGAACATTTTTATTCCATTAATTACTCTTTTACAACACGATTTAAATACACATACATATAAGCATTTTGCTTTTTTATGTCAACCATTTCAATTATACTAGAATACAAAATATCTTTTCTGCATCTTCTTAATTTCTAAATAAGAGCTGACTTACTCTTGTGTGCTGTTTTCTTGTTTGAACAAAGAAGTATCCAGTTATGTGTTTTCTTACAAAAGAAAAGTAAACAGTATGAATGGACACACACACACAAGCACGCACACATACACAAAACCCTCAACAAACTAACAGTACAGAAACCGTTTTGTTCTCTGCTACAAATAGTTGAAAGAAAATGTAAGAATTTGATTTCTACTAGCTCTGATTGCTGAGTTGGGTGTTTATCTCCCTAAACTCTAAAAGGGTGTGTCTCTGTTTCCCTCTAGAGCAGATTTTACTGTGTAGTGAAAATGCTGTGTACTTGAATTGGTTCAACCAAATGCACCATCTTTAATGGAAGAAAAAAAAATACATGCATGGGAAAGACACACACAATTGTCAAACCATGCAAATCCTATCCACCCCCCCTTTACCCTCAGACTCTTGGCACAGATCATTTGGATGCACCCAATGTACTTTTTCTGTCTCAGTGATCCCACCTACAAGAGGAAATACACTTAGACTGCCTCGTTATTAAAATATTCTAAAAAACCCCCAAGATATGGAAGTAGGAACTAATAGAGACACCTTTTCCCTGGCCAAGTATTTTGCTGAACTGATGAATTTTCAATATTCCTTATAAGGGCACTGAAGGACAGATTTCATATGCTCTGAGCCAACCTAGTGCATGGAAATTAAGACTTTAAAAAAAATCAGCATTACCTTTGGGTTCTGGAGGAATGCGCTCCTAAAACATTTTTTTGGCCTGTGTAAAAATGCAATTTCTAGAATAATCTGATATGCAACCCCTTAAAAAGCATTCTTTTATTTTGTACTTGTAGGGTTTTTTCCTATGTGATGATAAAAGAGAAAGAAAAATGACAACTTACTTTCATAGCAAACTGGATCCATGTCCTTTCGTCAACTTGATATGAGACACAAAGCATAAACAAACCAAGATAGGCCACTAAGCAGACCTGCAAGGGAGGACAGGGACGAAAGGGTGTTATCAGGGACAGTCGTGCATTCTCATGACATCAATCTCCGCGTCTTTCCCCAGTAACAGCCTTGTTATCGAGGTGCTCATTTCATTTACTTATCTGTCTGTGTTCTTCCTTTCTCGGCTTGAGGAACAGCCTTTTTAAAATAGTAAAATCAATTTCTTTCAATTGACCTGGTATTTATTAAGCCCTTTTGATGTGTCAGGTGCTGTCCGAGGTTCTTTAGAGTACACAATGATCCTCAGCAAGGGTAGAGTCCAGTTGAGGCCGAGATAAGTGCAGGCACTATTCTAAGGCAGGGCTATATATGGCGAATGCCATTCAGAGAAGTACAAAAAGAGGGAAAAATAACATTGAGTCGGGCAATTTAAAAAGACTTCACTAAAGAGGTGGATTTGAAATGGTCCTTGAAAGGGATGATGATAATCACGATAATGATCATGGACGTTTACTGACTACTGACTTTATGCTGGTGATCTTCGAAGGGCTTTGTACGGATTTCCTTGTGCAATCATCACAAAACCTGAGGAAGTAGGTGCTTATGATCCTCATATTAGAAATGAGGAAACAGAAGTACAAAGCTAGTAAATAATGAAACCAGCACTCATACGAGGTAGTTTGGGTGAACAGCCCAAGCAATCGCACAGAGCTAGGCTGGCGCCAATTGTGGGGGAAGAGTAGCCAATATATAACTGTAGTTGAAATAACAAAATATAGAGCAGAACGGTCAGTTAAAAATCCGGGGCAGGGGGGCGCGGGGGGCGGTGCCTGGGTGGCTCAGTTGGTTAAGCAACTGCCTCTAGCTCAGGTCATGATCCTGGAGTCCTGGGACAGAGCCCCATATTGGGCTCCCAGCTCCATGAGGAGTCTGCTTCTCCTTCTGACCTCCTCCTCTCTCATGCTCTCTCTCACTGTCTCTCTCTCAAATAAATAAATAAAAACTTTTAAAAACATAGTTAAAAAAAAAAATCCAGGGATGTAGGATTAATTTAGGGAGTAATGGGACTTCCTTAAAATTCTTTGACCAGACAAATGACATGATTCGAGACACGTTTCAGAAAGATGAGCAGTGGTGTTGGGTGGGTTGGCGATGAGAATGCCGGGATATCATTTTACTAATCAAAGCAAAATTAATCTATCAGGTGGGCCAGAGCTGAGATGATGCAGACAAAGTCAGAGAAAGAGGCAGAAGGAAAGGTATAGTCCAGTAGAATCTGCACATCGTGGCTACAGCATGACTGACAGGAGGACAGTGGCCAGGGAGAGAAAGGAAGTGATCCCCCCATGTCTGAGCACCCACAAAGGGAAGGAGAAGGCTGGGAGAAGGAATGACAACTTTGAGAGAAAAAGATACTCAACTGTTTTGTCAAACCAGATTTTTCTCTTTTTTTACTGCATTAGAGTTTCATAAATGTGATTTAGAGTTTTCTTATCAAATGTATCTATTCACACTTAATTTTGGAAAGATCAAAATGTTGCTAAGTTCTACTTCAGGACAGAAACCAAAAGCAACAGAATTGTATTTTCTGATAAGCACAAGTTTCCTAGAGACAGATGTTGGAAGTGTAGCTGAGTGTCACCTAGCAGGTCAGTAAATGACTGGTTTGGTGATCATTTCTACCCCTAGGGCTAGCTTTACACCTCAGGGGAGGAGAGCTGTTTATTTACCATGCCAACATAGCATTTGAAGGTAATGCTTCTATCCTATTCTTCCCTGAACATAATCAATAAGTTGCTTGTGGCCTCATAGGTTCCCAAGTTGAGAGTTGTTTGGGTTTCTACTGGGCTGTGAAGCCAAAAGCGAAGCCTCCTTTTAGTACAGGCTTTTCCATCATTAGGATGGCTGATAACTTAACAGTGACATTCCCAGGGGAGAGATACAGCATGAAAATGCATGAGTATGACCCAGGTTGGAGAGAACTGGGTGGAAAACAGAGTAGGTAGGACCCAGGGAGGCAGCTTTTTGGTCAAAGCACTAGCAGGTGCCGAAGTAATGACCCTGAAGTTACATGGGCAGCCCACAACATGGTGGACATTCCCAAGTCAGGGATGGATTTCTTTCTCAAAATTTATTTTTTAAAATGATCTAATTGAGGTATAAGTTTGATCAGGCCTGGAGAGGCTTATTATGTATTTTCACATTAAGAATTTATAGCACTGAAACAATAGAAAAAAGACCTCCTTTTTTTGTTTGTTTGTTTATTGGCAACAAACCAGATGGAGGTTTCTCAACTTGCTTCTCTGCAGAGTGTTAAGTCCCTAAACATGTGCCCATACACTCCTGTTCATGTCTGTCTGAAAGTGCCCAGGGTCCAGCTCTCTCCCATATAACTGTCTTTGGCCCCAGAGGCTGCTGTAAAGTTGGCACTTGCCAAGACTCTCCTCTTTGCCTTCATGAAAGACACATTCCAATCATCAGGCCTAACTGACCCACATCTTAAAATCTGATTCTGTTTGTCTTCCTTGAATGAATTTTTCCCCTATAGTAGTATCTACTTCTTTGGAGCCTTAATTTAGGCCAGTTTCCATCAAGAAGGTGCAAAGGAACATATAACCTCATTCTTGGGCATTTCTCTTAGTCGACCAACAAAACTGTTTTGAGGACATACACTAGCCAGGCCCTGGGCATGGCTCTGGGAATTGACAGCTGAGAAGACATAGCCTCAGACTTCAGACAGCTCTCTGCCAGTGCAGTGGGGAAAGAGACGACAATGAAGTTAGACTACCACTAAGTAACTAGGACCTCATCTGCTGTAAGACCCAGGAAGGGTGATCAATCCAAAGGCACCTTGGGGACACTTCCTGAAGGGTGATGGGTTTTGAAGGCTAGGCAGTTATCAGTTGGGAGAGGGATGTGAGGAAGAGTAGAGGACACACTGGTAGGAACAAAAGCATGGAGAAAGGCAGAGTAAACATTCTAGGACTCCCATAGCCCCAGTACAGAAGACGAAAGAAGAAACAGTGAAAGATGTGTTTACAGAGATGGACGGGAGGTGGGTCACAAACGACTTTTGTTTCCATCGAGGATGTTTGGTGCCATGGAATGGTACGACCTGCACTGCGTTTTAGAATGGTCCTTCTGGCTGTGAAGGCGGACTGGGAAGGGAAGAGCAGCCAAGAAGGCCTGATGCATCCGTGGAGGAAGGTGACTGCCTGAGCTCAGCTAGCACAGCTAGCAGCGGGAGAGACTGTGGGTCTGCTGAAGCCACAGGAGGGAAACCAAATCCTTGGGCTCTGAGATGAAGGCTGTAGGGGCGGGAGGGGCCAGGAAGGTGCTTCACGGTGATGTGACTTGAGCTGCCAGGGCGATGGCGCTGACATTTAGGGAGACACAAGAGGAAGAGCAGAATGGGAGTGGAAAATGATGCTGCCCCCAGGGATTCAAGGCTCAGCCGCATAGGCCTCGAGCTCAGGAAGGAGGTCTGAGTGGGAGACGAGCACTGGTTAATCATCAGTATACACGTGAAGTCACTGAAACCATCAGAAATGTGAGACCATCCAGAGAGAGTCTAGTGAAAACAGAAAAGAGCCAAGGAAGTGGCCCAGTTAATGAAAAACTTCTGATTCTTTTGAGCAGAAATCATCTCATACAGACTTCTTACACTTTTCATGGTACATCAAAACATGTCTAAATATTATGAAACTGATAAGCCTTTTGGAGTTGGGGATTTTGCTTTTAGGCCTTTGTCTAGGGTCTTTGTTATAAAACCTGAATACATTCAACACCCTTTCATTTCTTAGCCTTCTGCCAGGGCTCAGGAGGCTCCAGGAGGGGGGACCTTCTTTTTCTCACCTACAGATTTACGTGGTAGAGCAATACTTCTTTATCAGACAGTTTATTGCTGTTTAGCACCTTTGAGAAGACTAGTATTTATTGAAACTTAAAACTGAAGGCTTTATGGCCATGGGGAGGAATCCAGACTTCTCATGCCAGACGAAGGGTCTTGTTTCCTGAGCTGGCAGGCCACAGACACCCCAGGAAGACAGGGTCTTCTGACTTCCCAAGCAGGGAGGAGGAGCTCATGTTAATGAGCAGCGAGACCCACCAGGTCTCTCTGGACAACATTCCTGGATTCTGGGCCAGAGCTTCCATTAGATTCAGTGAGGTGAGGCCCATGGAACAGGAAAAAAAGCAGTTAGGTAAGGTTTTCAAGAAGGCTTTCGTTGGACCAGACACCCAGGTCTGGGGTGGACAGGTGGTGTCACTGCATAGACAGCCAAACAAGAACGGGGTGGCACTAGGGAAAGGACAGGTGGGCTTTAAGAGCCTGGGAAGATTTAGTTCATGTACAGACGGATAACACAAGCTTGGGATGGTTTGTTGTTGTTTTTTTTTTTTAAATGGGAAAAAAGATGACTACTATCATCTTCAATCAATTTTTAGATGCATGTTTCTACAGTTTGTTAGCATCAAAATAAAACCCAAGTCCTACATTCCACCTTCTGTCTAAAGACATTCTTTGTCTGCTCAGAGTGAAGGCTGCATTCTCTCTGGTGAGTTAGAGTTAGACAGGGATGAAATGTTCTCTGAGTGTTAGATCCATTTCTAGATGTAGGAGTCTTGAGTCTTGTCATACATTGTCTTTGTTTCCATCAGTAGGCCTTGATGTGCCTGCCATGGTGTTTTGAAGGGTCAGCATTATGCATCAAAGGTGAATGCCAGACCAACGTCTGGGAGATTCTACCTATGTATTACTTTTTTTTTTTCCTTTTCATTCTCGCATAGCTAGAAGATACCAGCCTAAAACACCTTGTGAGAATGTGAATTACTGATATTTACTTCTCTCCATGTCCTACAGATTTATATTCTGGTCTTGCAACATTCACACAACCTCCAATTTATTTGTTTTCTTCTTTTTGTTGTCGACAGAGCTGCTTGACAGGCCTACCTGGGGAATACGACCTTCCCCTGTCAAATGCCTTTCAAAGTCTCTCTCCTCCTTCCACCCCAGCCCTTTCATTTGTGTACCTGAAAT